TATTTTTACTTCAGTAGGAAGTAAAATGAAGCAGATGTTTATTTAACTGGGTTCTATGGTAATGTTAAAATCTTTTCTCAATATTTTTATTTTGTGTTATATTTTTATTACAGAAAAATGTCAGTCAATATTGTGTGTATTGGTATTGTGTTAAAATGTTTGATAGGCCTACTTAACTTTTCAGTATTATTCAGGGAGTATATTTTGGGTATGATACTCTTGTTTTTCAGGTAGGAATCTGTGGTGTAAGAAAAGATAATTCATTATAGGCAAATCAAACCAATAAAAATCTACTATACATCAACACAACACCAGAAAAAATAAGCATTTAAATTAAGCTTCCAATTCCTTGGTTGAAATAGTGCTCCTTTCTTTGACCCATCCTGTGCTATATATATCTGTTATATATATCTGTTATATATATGCTGTTATTATATATATATATAAAATATATATGCACGTGTAACACTGACCCATTATTAGACTTTCTGAAAGTGGAGTCTTTTTTTCATTCTATTTCCTCCACTCTCACCCTGCCACAGTGACTTCCTTTGCCTTGGCTACTTTAACATGAGAGAAAACTAGGGAAAACCACATGGAAAAGCATCATTTGTCCAATGTTAATGGCACCGTGCCAGATTGCTGATGTGTAGAAATATATTAACTGTCCAGGGTCACTCTCCTAAGATTTATAATTAGTCCTGACTCATTTCTACCTGAGCATCTATCTATACAAGGGACACCTGGGGAATTGTGATTCCCTAATCCTCAGGTGGTATAGTAGGCTATATGTTGGTCTATTAACCACAAGGTCATCACCTTGAACCCACCAGCTACTTTGCAGGAGCAAGATGAAAGTTTCTGCTTTAAAAATTTAAAGCTTCCGAAACAAGCAAGGTCAATTCTATTCTGAAATTTCAATGACCAAGCTTGAGTGATCTTTTCAGAACAGCTAGATCTCTTTCCAGAAATAAAATATCTGAAACTCAGTAATTAAACTTACTATTGTAATATAGGTAAATGGATTCCCCCAAATATATAAAGTACTTCCGCCCCCCATCACCCAGTGCCTAGGAAAGTGATTATACTTCGTGTTTGTTTTTGTTTCGCCAGTTAAGTTATAGGAGGTAATGTCAGAGCAGGCTGGGCTCTAGTCTTGTGTAAGTAGTGTCCTACAAAAAAACAACAACAGAGATGTGCAAAGAGAGGGGTCACATGCGGAAGGAAGACGGCATGTGAATGTCTGTCTACAACTCAAAGAATGATACAAAAGTCCCAGGGCTGCTGGAAACAGATGATTCAGAGAGTTGTGCAGCTATCAGCAACCACAGTGTGACTTTAGAATGTTTCTACCCCTGCAGACATTAGCAATCACTCCCCATGTCTCCATGTCCTCGGTCAACGAATGATCTACCGTCTAAGGATGAGCCCATTCGAAATCCTGTGGTGTCTTTTGTGCTTGGTTTCCTGCATGTTGCTTAATGTTCTCAAGGATTATTCATGGTGGCTTTTTTATATTAAAGTTTCACTCATTTTAATATCCTACTGAACTCATTGTATAAGTAGATCATATTTTGTTTATTCATTCATTGCTTGATGGTCATTTGGGTGGCTTTTCCATTTTGGTCATTATGAATATCACTGCTTTCAAATGTATGCACACCATTCACTAAAAGTTTTGTGTGAGCATATGTTTTCATTTGGGCATGTACTTTGGAGTAGGGTTTCTTTGTCATTTAGTAACTATTTAAAGTTTGAATCGTGGTTGTACCTATTTACCTCCCACAGAAATAAGCGAGGGTTTCAGTTTCTGCA